AAACGGATGAAGAGTTCCGTTATATCCCGGATATCCTCTTGAAACAAAAGCAGGAAGAATTGAAATCTTTAGATGATCCGAATGTGCGCAGAAATTTAGGTTGGGAATAGTTGTATTTAAACAGTAGTAATAAACACGAGATTAAAATATGTTGTTTCATTAGCAGGTTGAAACTGCTTGTATATCTTATTCTCTTATTCTGTATCGCTCATCCTTCTAGGGTATTTTAGATTATTTCGAGAACAGCTGTATTCACTTCACGCATTATGAGCACAATAGCTAGTTTGACGAACTATGAACTTGTTGATATAGGAGCGAATTTATCACATCCTTCTTTTGCGGATGATTTGGAAATAGTTCTTGAAAGAGCTCAGCAAGCAGGTATGCAAGTCTGTTTTCCTTATGAGTTCCGTATCCAAGGTATTACCAAAATAATGCTTACTGGCACAAGTGAGACAATAAGTAAAGATATTGTTGCCTTAGCAGAGAAGAAGCCTGGGTTCCTATATGTGACAGCAGGTTTGTATTCATGCATTGACTTATCTTATTCGTTTATTGGAGGAGTTCATCCGCATGATGCAAAAGATTTTAATGAGGATAGCTTGGACGTTCTTCGTAATCTGCATGTATGTTTCTCGAGTTGTGCTGCGATATGATAAGTTCAGTCCTTTTCTTTCAGAAACACCCTCAATGTGTTGCAGTCGGAGAATGTGGGCTAGATTACAATCGCAACTTTTCTCCTCCCGACGTTCAGAGGGATGTTTTCCGAAAACAAGTGCAGTTTTACCGGTTTAGTGAGTTTTATTATTTCTACAGGTTGAGCTGGCTTGTGATCTTCATCGACCATTGTTCATTCACGAGAGAGATGCTCATGAAGATATGGTGACAATCCTGGAAGAATTCAAAGAAAAGTATAAATTTTCAAAAATTATATTTTATATATTTTCTAAATTGAGACTTCCTCCTGCCGTTATTCATTGTTTTACTGGTACTGCAGATCAAGCTAAGAAATATATTGAGATGGGGTTGTATATTGGCTTGACCGGTTTATCTCTGTTTTGAGATTCTATCTCAATGACTGTTCCAGGGTTTTTGTCGAAAGATAATACAGTTGACGGTGTTCAGTTTTGTTTAAGAGAAGGAATTATACCCCTAGAACGTTTACTCCTGGAAACGGATGCTCCGTACATGTATCCTAGAGTATGGCATTATTTTTAATCATCTGTATTTTTTTATTCTTTCAGCTGAACTTGAAGAAACTGCCACTTCATGTAAGTGAAACAATAACCGAAAATGCAAAAGCTATTCACATGGTAGACTATCTCTAGTACTCCGCAGTGGAAGGGCAAAGTTTTTTTCAGTTTTCTTCTTTCAAACGGAACGAGCCTAGTTCTCTAGCTGTGATATGCGAGATGATAGCATCTTTTATGGGTAAACACCCCGAACAGGTCTTTGCGATATCAATTATCATTTCATCGCCTTCTTTTAAGGTAGCCCGAGTGACCAGCGAGTCTGCAAAAAAAATTTTTAGCCTCGATTAAGTCTTATAAAGCTTTTAAGATTTTACTGTTAGTTGTTTTCTCGTGGTTGTTGGCCACACTTT